TGCAGTGCTTAGTGTAGAAAACATCGAGCATGGAGACAGCTGAGGTATTCAATTATTTTATTGTCCACACAGGTGGTTCGTCCAACGTGAACAAGCATCAAGGCAGTTATGAGGAATGTCACACTCACTAAAAGTTAATCTAGATTACATGTGTCATAAGTCCTTAAAATAATAATAGTTACATATATTTTGTATAGAGCGCTTTGAGTGTGAGAATCAGTCCATTTACCAAATATTCATCAGAGAGAAATCAAATTAATTTAGTGTAAAATGTGGAGACGATGCTTTATGTTAATAGGACCAGCTGACAGCAGAAGGCCACTGCGGTGAACACTGTCCTGCAGCAACACATCTAAAACATTCACATGCACATATTCTTATTGCTAAACTTTCAAACACCAACTATTCCCCAAAAACATCGTAAATGTCCGTCAGCAGGATCAGGCTGTGACAGACGACGCGATGCACAACGCTTCGTCTCAGACGGACCAAACAGTAACGCTGAAGTGCAATCAAAAGGTCCTGGGAGCGTTCCCATTACGCGTGAATGGATCGTGGTCGTGTGCATCAGCTGACGCGCTGCCATCAGAAATAAAAACGTCATTTTAAGAACGTCGTTATTATTAGGAAACGTTTTGGCCTGAACAAAATGTGTCAACATTAAAGTTTTTCCTTTGCCTGTTCTCGGCAACAGGGGAAAGGAAATGCTAACAATGTAACAATGTTTCTGTTACTTTGTTACCTTTAAAGTCAACTGAGGACAAAACCTGCAGATTATGGCGAGCGCTGCGGCTCTTCGTGGACCGCCCCGGCTTCATTTTACTAAAAAGCATTTACTGGCAGTAGTCTGTAAATCATTCCTGTTGAATGAAAACAAATGAAGTAGTAAATAATAAAAACACACAAACAGTCGCTGCGTCATTATTCAGAGAGATGTTGCACAACCAACATCAGGAGTGCACGTATTTTTATGACCAGCGGCAGATGCGCCTCTAAAAGTTTAACTGAAGCTCAGAAGCAGCACTTTGGGATTCAAAATAAATAAATATCCATTAAAAAGCTGACTTCCAGGGAATGTGAAGAGGAACAAAGGAACTGCTTCGAAAAGGATGGCAGCCAAATTTAAACGGGTCAGTTTTCACTTTCTTACGGCTCAGGCTCTGAAGCTTTCGATCGCACTTTTCTGTGTCCAATGTCACGTTCATACTTAATAAAACCGACGTGAAATAAACCAGCAGAATAACAAAAGCAAACTGAAAACAGATGGTCACTCAGAGAATAGGCTCCGTGTCATTCCAGCTGACAAATGCATCCTTCCACCTGCAAGAAGAAGAACAGACTCGTCTGTTAAAGCTTCGAAACTCGTTACAGGATTAAAAGGAATTTGAATAAAACAAAACATGTCGAAACATTTTATGGTCGTTTCAGGGATCTGTGTGTGTGACGGCTCTCACCTTGTTCGGATACAGAGCTCCAGAGGAGGAGTGAGGTCAGTCTCCA